CAGCAGGTTCTTGGTCTTCCACCTTCTCCTGGTCCTCCTCCTCCTCCCTTAGAGGGTCCACAGCTTGTCCAGTCACTGCTACAGCCTGCCTCCCCTTTGCCTGCTCCTTCTCCCTACGCTGGTCCGACTGGAGGTCTTACTGAGCGTCGTGAGCCTGCGTCTCGTCCTGCGTCGCCTGTTCGTACTGCGCGCACTAGTGGTCGCGGTTCGCGTCAGCGTCCGCCTCCTGTCCCTGGCACGCACCGGATGTCTCTGCGTCCGTCCACTGCTCCTCTACGTGCCCCTTTGCCTTCTCCTCCTTCTTCCTCTCTTCCTGCTCTTGCCGACCCGGAGTCGGACTCTCTTCGTGCTGCCAGTCCTACTGTCACGCGTCTCCTTGCTACTGCTGTCACTGACCCTTCTTTCGAGTCTTCTGCTGCGTCTGCCCTTGTCACTGAGCTCGTCGACTTTGCTGCGCGCTGTCGTCTAGACTACGCTGCTGGTCTTGTCGCTGAGTCTGAGTCTACCTGTCCTCCGTCCGTCGGGGGTGAGTGTGCCCTTGGCACGGACGTCCTTGAGGACAGGCAGGAGGAGTTCCAGTGTCTGGCCGCCGCTTCACCTTATCTCGCGTCTGTACTGCTAGCCCCTGAGGGAGACCCGGATGCACTAGACATCCCGACTCCGCGCTCTTACGCGGAGGCGATAGAGGGTCCCTACTCCTCTCAGTGGCAGGCAGCTATGGATGCAGAGATGGCTTCCTGGAAGTCCACAGGCACCTACGTTGACGCTGTTCCCCCTCATGGGGCGAACATCGTCAGTGGCATGTGGATTTTCAGGGTGAAGCGGCCGCCGGGTTCTCCGCCTGTCTTCAAGGCGCGGTACGTGGCTCGTGGTTTCAGTCAGCGGCAGGGAGTTGACTACTTTCAGACCTTCTCCCCCACCCCGAAGATGACCACTCTTCGGGTACTGCTGCACGTTGCTGCTCATCGTGACTACGAGCTGCACTCTCTCGACTTCAGCACTGCTTTCTTGCAGGGCAGCCTGCACGAGGAGATCTGGCTGCGTCGCCCACCTGGCTTCACTGGGTCTTTCCCTCCTGGTACCCAGTGGAGTCTCCGGCGTCCAGTCTACGGTCTCCGCCAGGCGCCGCGTGAGTGGCACGACACACTGAGGACTACGCTGGCGGCACTTGGGTTTGCTCCCTCCACTGCAGACCCGTCGCTGTTTCTGCGCACCGACACCTCTCTGCCGCCGTTCTACATCCTCGTGTACGTCGACGACTTGGTTTTTGCCACAGCTGACACTGCTGGACTCGCCTACGTGAAGTCCGAGCTGCAGAAGAGACACACGTGCACTGACCTGGGTGAACTGCGCAGCTACCTTGGCTTGCAGATCACCCGGGACAGAGCACGCCGCACCATTACCCTGACTCAGTCACACATGGTGCAGCAGGTCCTTCAGCGCTTCGGCTTCACGTACTTCTCACCTCAGGCCACTCCTCGGCCTACTCGCCACTCGCTCTCAGCTCTGCCTTCGGATGAGTCCGTAGAGTCGAGTGGCCCGTATGCAGAGCTTGTTGGCTGCCTCATGTACCTGATGACCTGCACACGACCTGACCTTGCATACCCTCTGAGCACTCTTGCACGCTATGTTGCTCCTGGGAGACACCGACCAGAGCACATGGCTGCACCGAAGAGGGTGTTGCGCTACTTGTGCAGTACGTCGGGCATGGGGCTAGTGCTTGGAGGGCGCAGTCCAGTGGTCCTCACTGGGCACGCAGACGCTTCTTGGGCTGATGACCAGGCTACGCAGCGGTCGTCACAGGGTTACACCTTCAGTCTTGGTTCCGGCTCTGTTTCGTGGCGGGCTACCCGCTCGTCTTCTGTTCTCGGCTCCAGTTGTGAGGCTGAGATCTACGCCGGGGCCATGGCTGCATAGGAGTTACGCTGGCTCACCTACCTGCTGACCGACCTTGGAGAGCCGCCTCGTTCTCCTCCAGTTCTGTACGTAGACAACAAGGCCATGTTGGCCTTGTGTCGAGAGCAGCGACTGGAGCACAGGACAAAGCACATTGCTCTCCGCTACTTTCTTGCTCGTGAGCTACAGCAGCGTGGACAGTTGCGACTTGCGTACTTGGCCTCTGAGGCCAACACTGCTGATGTCTTCACCAAGGCACTTGCGCCTTGTGATCATCAGCGCTGCTGCACACAGCTGGGCCTTGTGCCTGCCTTGCCTCACTTGCTCACTTCTTGACCTTGCTTGTACTTTTACCTATATATACTCTTGCTCTTGCTTGCTTGCCTCTTGTATATCTCTATATATGATCTTGCATGTGAACTGGCCTTCTGGCCTTTGAACTTGTGCTCGGAATGTGTGGTGACTTTGTGATCCACCCTGAGCTTTGCTTTGCTTTGCTTGACTGGTCTTGTGACCCCTTGTTCTCCCCCAATTTGCCTATGGGGGTGTGTCAGAACATCATAGCTTACTTATTTGTGTAGGCTATAGTGGGGTATCCCATAGGGGGTACAACCCTATTAGGGTTTCCTATTTGTACTAACCTCGTTCATAGTTCATTCATTCTCGTTCACTTCTTCTCATCTGTTCGGGACGCTTCGCGACCCTCAGAACATTCGCGTAACACTTGGGTAACTGGCCTTGTGGCGAGACTATATATAGCCTCGTGTTGTACCCAGGTGAATCAATCAATTCACATTCTCCTTTCTGAGCTCAATCCTAGATCCTCACACACTCCCCCATACGTCCGACCAGAAGGTCGGCTCCGCCAAAGCAAGAACGGGGCCTTCCACAGCTCCTGTTGAGTGCGTTACTTAGCCATATGAGTGGTGCTGAGAGTAAGTGCGTTACTTACTGATATGAGTGATTCTAAGAGTTGTGCTATGAGTGGTACTAACAGTATGTGCAACACTTAGTGCTATGTATTGTACTATGATAAAGTGCGTTATTTAGCCATGTGAGTGGTACTAAGAGAAAGTGCGTCATTTAGCCATACGAGTGGTACTAAGAGTATGTTCTTAGAAATATGAGTGGGTCTTACAGAAAGTTCGTCACTTAGCCTTATGAGTGATACTACGCGTAAGTGCGTTATTTAGCCATATGAGTGGTACTAAAAGTATGCGCACTATTTAGGCATATGAGTGGTACTAAGAGTAAGTGCAATACTTAGCCATACGACTGGTACTAAGAATAAGTGCGTTACTTAGCCATATAGGTGGTGCTAACAATAAGTGCGTTACTTAACCATATGAGTGGTACTTAGAGTAAATGCGTTACTAAGCCATATAGGTGGTACTAAGAATAAGTGCGTTACTTAGCCATATGGGTGGTACTAAGTATAAGTGCAATATTTAGCCATATGAATGGTACTAAGAGTTGGTGCGTTACTTAGCCATATGAGTGGTACTAAGAGTAAGTGTGATGCTTTGTGATATGAGTGGTACAAAGTGTATGTGCATTACTTAGCGATATGAGTGATGCTAAGAGAAATTGCGTCAATAAGCCATATGAGTGGTACTTGGAGTAAGTGCGTTATTTAGCGATATGACTGGCACTAAGAGTAAATTCGTTACTTGTTGGGTGCAGATTCACTTTGCACGGCATTCTGCCGTCTGTTTGTACGAGTATGCGTATGCGAATGCATATGCGTGTGAATGGTGTGTTTGTATGTTTGTGTGTTTTCGCATTTTTTGCTTGAAGCATTTGCAGGTACTCGCGAAATGTGCGTTCGGCACAACATTATATGCATTATGAACAGCGCAAGCAGAAAGTTCGAGCTCGCAAAGGAACCCAAGATGGAAGCTTTGCAGTTCAGTTAATTGATTGCGCAGATTCAGTTTCATCCAACTTGAAATTGTACTGTTTTGTTTGGTTGACTATAGTGTAGCAAGGCAGGCACTATAGGGGTACAATTTATGTATAGATTGGATGTAATTTGTTTGTATCTGCATGCTAGAAAGCCAGAGGAAACCAGCAGAACCAGCATTTGGCTGGTTGGGCAAAGACAAAACAGGTTTTGTTTTTAGAACCTGAACCTGGTTGTTGTTTCTGTATAGGCTGTAGTGGGGTAGACAATATGGGGTACAACATTTTTAGGTTTTCCTACTCGTACCCACCTGCTTGCTAGAGCATTCATTCCTCATTCTTCACATGGTATAGAGCAGGTTCCCTCGTGGGAACGCTTCTCAGGGCCCACCACTGAACTCGACCTTTCTTTTTTCCTGCTCGAGGCGCGCCCCGTAGGCCGCCCTCACGTCGCGCCCTCCTAGAGGCCCCTCGCGCCACCCTTAGCGACCCCGTCGCCACCCCTTACGGCCCCGTCGCCGTCCTTTGCGGCCCCATCGCCGCTCCTCTAGGCCCCTCACGGCCCCTTCGCGGCCTCGTCGCCGCCCCTCTAGGCCCCGTCGCCGCCCCTCTAGTCCCCTCGCGGCCCCTTCGCGGCCCCGTCGCCGCCCCTCCAGGCCCCGTCGCCGCCCCTCTAGGCCCCTCGCGGCCCCTTCACGGCCCCGTCGCCGCCCGTATCGGCCCCGTCTCCGCCCCTCGCGGCCACGTCGCCGCCCTTTGCAGCCCCGTCGCCGCCCCTAGCGGCCCCGTCGCCGCTATTCGCGGCCCCGTCGCCGCCTCTAGGGGCCCCCGTCGCCGCCCTTCGCGGCCCCGTCGCCGCCTCTACCAGCCCCGTCGCCGCCTCTACCGGCCCCGTCGCCGCCCTTCACGGCCCCTTCACCGCTGAGCCGCCCAGCAGCCGAGAAGCCCAGCCACCCAGCAGCCAAGCAGCCGAGCCGCCGAGCCACCGAGCCGCCCAACATCCGAGCCGCCCAGCAGCCTGGCCACCGAGCCGCCGAGCCACCGAGCCGCCCAGCAGCCGAGCCACCGAGCCGCCTTGCCGTCGAGCCGCTCCTTTCACTGCAGAGCCGCTGCCACCTCGGTTACAGCCCTATTCCTACCGGCGCGCCCTGGCCCTGCTCACTCGGACTGGTGAGATCACTCCCTACTAGACCACTGCTTTCATGGCTACCCCCAGTGTCCTTACCTTTGATGCTGAGGGTCGTGCTGTTGACTTTGAGGTCTGGGTCGATGACCTCCAGCTTTTCCTGCAGTGCGATAGGGCAGACACACTCTCCCTGTTCGATCTCACCTCTGGTGCCTCTCCTGCCCCGCCTACTGATGCTGACAGCACTGTTCGCTCACAGTGGGCCACACGCGATGCTGCTGCCCGTCTTGCTGTGCATCGCCACTTACCGACCACTAAGAGTGCGCACTTTAGTCAGTACAAGAGTGCTAAGACCTTGTTCGACGCTGTAGTTGCACGCTACTCTTCCCCTGCCACTGCTGCTCTTAGCCGCCTCATGCTGCCGTACCTGTTCCCTGACCTTGCTGCCTTTCCCACAGTCGCTGACCTCATTACGCACCTTCGCACTAGTGACACTCGCTACCGCGCTGCGCTTCCTGCTGACTTCTGTGCCAAGAACCTCCCCCTCATGTACATCACCCTCTACTACATAGTCACCCGGCTCCCTGACTCCCTTCGCTTAGTCAGGGACCACTTCCTCTCAGTTTGCCCCACCACACTCACCGTTGACCTCCTCGAGGAGTGCCTCCTAGCAGCAGAGAAGGGCATAGTCGCTATAGGAGCCTCTCATGGTGACCTTCGCACCCTCGTCTTTGAGGGGTGTTTCCCCTCCCCCCTCTTGCCCTCTGTTGCTTCTGCTGCTGCAGCCGACCTCGTTGGCTTCGAGTCGGTCGGCGCTGCGTCTGCCCCTAACGGGAGATGCCGCACCGGCAAGGGCAAGGGGGCAAGGGCGCTAGAGGGGCTGGCGGGGCCGGTGGAGGTGGTGGTGGAGGCAGTGGAGGGGGTGGGGGTGGTGGTGGGAGTGGTGGCGGGGGTGGAGGTGTCGGTGGCAGCAGTGGAGGTGAAGGAGGTGGCGGCGGTGGCGGAGGGAGCGGAGGCGACGGAGGTGGTGGAGGTGGCGGAGGCGGCGGAGGTGGCGGAGCCGGCAGCGGCAACGGTGGAGCTGGTCGCGGATCTGCGCAGAGGAGTGGTTCCTGTGGTGGTCCGCGCCAGCAGCAGCAGCGCACTCGTGAGACCCCGTCTCCCCAGCAGCTTCGTGAGTGGTACGCTAGGCGTCAACGAGGTGGGGGTACTAGTCCCTGCACCTACGTCCTCCGTACCAGTGACCGCGCTGGTGAGCAGTGCGGGGGCCCGCACTCCACCCAGCGCTACTTCGGCCGCCTGACGGACGCTTGGCGTCACCAGTTCCCTGACGCCATTGAGATCCCTCGCTGGGGAGAAAGTCTAGGGCGGGAGTTGCTATCTTTGATCTGGATTATGATGCTATTCTTGCTGCCATGTATGTTGTGTCTACTAGTGATGAGGGTGACTGTTACCTGTGTGTTCTGCCTGACCCGAGCATTGAGGCTGCTGCTCTAGGTGCTGGTGAGGCTGCTGCTCTAGGTGCTAGTGCGTCCGCTGCCCCAGGTGCTGGTGAGTCTGCTCTCTCAGGTACCACTTCGACTGAGGCCTTACACACCTTCACCCTTGACTCGGGTGCTTCTCGCTCCTTCTTTCGAGACCGCACCACGCTTACGCCGCTTAGTCGGCCGGTTGCGGTCTCCCTGGCGGACACCTCTGGAGGTCCTGTCCTTGCTAGCTTCTCCACTGTCTTACCGTGTCCGGCAGCCCCCTCTGGCACCCTGTCAAGTCTCTACCTCCCCTCATTCTCTGTGAACTTGGTGAGTGGAGCTGATCTACAAGATAGGGGGGTTGACCAGTTCACTCCTGCGAGTCAGCGGGTGACCCATTGTACGTATGCTCAGACGGGCCGACATTTGGCCACGTTTACCCGTCGGCCGGGGTCGAGCCTGTACACACTGACTACTGAGTCTCCTCCAGTTGCTGAGTCTGGTCAGGTAGCTGCGTCGAGTTAGGTGTTTGCTGCAGCGTCCAGGTCTGGTCCTGAGTCTGCTCCCTGCTCGTGTCGTCTCCTGTCCTACCAGACTCTCCTTAGGCACCACCGCCTTGGTCACCCCTCCCGTCCTCGTCTCCGACGCATGGCCTCCTGTGTCCTCGTCTCTGGTCTCCCCCGGTCCCTCCCTCCCCTCCCTCCGGGGCATGCCCCTACGTGCATTCCCTGCGTCGAGGGGCGGCAGCACGCCGCCCCTCACTCCTCCGAGTTTCCTCAGACAGAGGCTCCGCTGCAGACTCTTCACATGGACGTGTGGGGCCCCGCCCGTGTCCGTGGCCATGGTCACGAGCGTTACTTCCTGTTGGTGGTTGACGACTACTCGCATTACACGACGGTGTTCCCCTTGCGCAGCAAGGGGAACGTCACTGAGGTGTTGATTGACTGGATCCGCGCAGCTCGTCTCCAGCTCAGAGAGAGTTTCGACTCGCACTTTCCTGTTCTGCGTTTGCACTCTGACAGAGGCGGGGAGTTTTCCTCTGCTCGTCTAGGAGCCTTCTGTCGTGCACAGGGCATCCGCCAGACCTTCACGCTTTCGGCCTCTACACAGCAAAATGGGATTGCTGAGCGCCGCATTGGCATGGTCATGGACGTCGCTGGTACGTCCACGATCCATGCGGCTGCCCCCCATTTTCTGTGGCCGTTTGCGGTTCAGTACGCAGCGCATCAGCTCAACCTTCAGCCCCGGGTCTCCTTGCCAGAGACCTTCCCCACCTTGCGGTGGACGGGGAAGGTTGGCGATGCGTGTGCGTTTCGGGTTTGGGGATCTCGGGCGTTTGTCCGCGACTTGTCTGCGGACAAGCTATCCCCCCGTGCTGTTCCCTGCGTCTTCCTTGGCTTCCCCCCTAACGCGCCTGGTTGGCTGTTTTACCACCCCATCTCGCGCCATGTTCTGTCCTCCCAGTATGTCACCTTTGACGAGGCGGTGCCTTACTACCGTCTCTTCCCCTACCGCACTGCGCCCCTCCCTCCGCCGCTGCTCTTTCTTGCGCCAGGTCCTCCCGCGGTAGACCCTCTCCCCCCTCAGGGTCCTGCCCCGTCAGGTGTGTCCCAGATAGACACAGTCGAGCCTGTCGAGGTAGCTGTTGACTCTGGTGCTGCTAGAGGTGCTGAGCCTGGGGGTGCGGAGCCTAGGGGTGCGGAGCCTGGGGGTGCTGCGCCTGGGGGTACGGAGCCTGGGGGTGCTGGGTCTGCTCGTGTGGCCTGTGGTGGTGCTTTGTTGAGGAGGGAGCTGCTCTCTCTGCAGGAGCTGCGCGAGTGATTTTCCCGGCGCTGGAGCTGTGCTGCTGGAGCTGGAGGTGCTACTGTTACTTCTGGTCTTGGAGGTTCTCGTACTGACGGTACTGGAGCTGCTGGGACTAGGGGTCCTGCTGGAGGTACGGTATTGGAGCTACTGGAGCTGGAGCTGCTGGGGGTGTTGGCGCTAGAGGTGCTACTGGAGCTGCTGGAGCTGGAGCTGCTGCGGGTGTTGGCGCTGGTGGTGCTGCTGGCGCTGGTGCTTCTGAGGGTGCTGGAGTTGGTGCTGCTAGAGTTGGAGGTACTGCTGGCGCTGGTGCTGCCTCTGGGGGTACTGGTGCTGTCCGTGCTGGTTCTGGAGACGTTGCGCGGCCGCGATTGTACTTCGTTCCGCTCCTTGAGCAGGTTCTTGGTCTCCCACCCTCTACTGGTCCTGCTCCTCCCTTAGAGTGTCCACAGCCTGTCCAGTCGCGGTCACAGTTACAGCCCGCCTCCCCCCTACCTGCTCCTTGTACCTACACTGGTCCTACTGGAGGTCTTGCTGAGTGTCCTGAGCCTGCATCTCGTCCTGCGTCGCCTATTCGTGCTGCTCGCACTAGTAGTCGTTCTTCGCGTCCGCGTCCTCCTGCGGTCCCAGGCACACACCAGATGGCACTGCGTCCGTCCACTGCTCCTCTGCGTGTCCCGTTGCCGTCTCCTCCAGAGTCCTCTCTTCCTGTTCTTGCTGACTTGGAGTCTGACTCTCTTCGTGCTGCCAGTCCTACTGTCACGCATCTCTTGGCTACTGTTGTCGCCAATCTTTCCTTTGAGCCCACTGCTGCGTCTGCCTTAGTTGATGAGCTTGTCGACCTTGCTGCTCGCTCTCGTCTAGACTACGCCGCTAGTCTCGTTGCTGAGTCTGAGTCTGTCTGTCCTCCGTCCGTCGGGGGTGAGTGTGCTCTTAGCACGGACGTCCTTGAGGACAGGCAGGAGGAGTTCCAGTGTTTTGCTACTGCTTTGCCTCATCTCGTGTCCACGCTGATTGCCCTAGAGGGAGACCCGGATGCACTAGACATCCCGACTCCTAGATTGTACGCTGAGGCGATCGAGGGTCCCTACTCCTCACAGTGGCAATCATCCATAGACGCAGAGATGGCTTCATGGAAGTCCACAGGCACCTACGTCGACGAGGTTCCCCCACCTGGGGCGAACATCGTCAGTGGCATGTGGATTTTCAGGGTGAAGCGGCCGCCGGGTTCTCCGCCTGTCTTCAAGGCGCGTTACGTGGCTCGAGGCTTTTGTCAACGGCAGGGAGTTGACTACTTTCAGACCTTCTCTCCCACCCCGAAGATGACCACTCTTCGGGTGCTGCTGCACATAGCCGCTCAGCGCGACTACAAGCTTCACTCTCTTGACTTCAGCACAGCTTTCTTGCAGGGCAGCCTGCACGAGGAGATCTGGCTGCGCCGCCCACTTGGCTTGACTGGGTCGTTTCCCGTGGTACCTAGTGGAGCCTCCGGCGGCCAGTCTACGGTCTCCGCCAGGCGCCCCGTGAGTGGCACAACACACTGAGGACTACACTTGCGGCTCTCGGGTTAGCTCCTTCTACTGCCGACCCGTCACTGTTTCTGCGCACAAACACCTCTTTGCCGCCATTCTACATCCTCGTGTACGTCGACGACTTGGTCTTTGCCATTGCTAACACTGCTGGACTCGCCCACGTGAAGTCCGAGCTGCAGAAGAGACACACGTGCATAGACCTAGGTGAACTGCGCAGCTACCTTGGCTTGCAGATCACCCGGGACAGAGCACAGCGCACCATTACCCTGACTCAGTCACACATGGTGCAGTAGGTCCTTCAGCGCTTCGACTTCACGTACTCCTCGCCTCAGGCCACTCCTCTGTCTACTCGCCACTCGCTCTCAGCTCTGCCTTCGGATGAGTCCGTAGAGCCGAGTGGCCCGTACCCAGAACTTGTTGGCTGCCTCATGTACCTGATGACCTGCACACGACCTGACCTTGCATACCCTCTTAGCATCTTGGCACGCTATGTTGCTCCTGGGAGACACCGACCAGAGCACATGGCTGCAGTGAACAGGGTGTTGCGCTACTTGTGCAGTACGTCGGGCATGGGGCTAGTGCTTGGAGGGCGACGTCGAGTGGTCCTCACAGGTCACGCAGACGCTTCTTGGGCTGACGACCAGGCTATGCAGCGGTCGTTACAGGGTTACACCTTCAGCCTTGACTCTAGCTCTGTTTTCTGGCGGTCTACCCGCTCGTCTTCTGTTCTCGGCTCCAGCTATAAGGCTGAGATCTACGCGGGGGCCATGGCTGCACAGGAGCTTTGCTGGCTCACTTACCTGCTGGCTGACCTAGGAGAGCCGCCTCGTTCTCCTCCAATTTTGTACGTAGAGAACAAGGCCATGCTGGCCTTGTGTCGATAGCACAGACTGGAGCACAGAAGGAAGCACATTGCTCTTCGCTACTTCCTTCCTCGTGAGCTGCAGCAGCAAGGTCAGCTGCGCCTTGCTTACGTGGCCTCTGAGGCCAACACTGCTGATATCTTTACCTAGCCTTTTCCGCCTTGTGATCATCAGCGCTTCTGTACGATGCTAGGTCTTGTGCCTACTTGGCCTCATTTGCTCACTTCTTGACCTTGCTTGTACTGTGATTTTTCTATACTTGCACTTGCTTGTTTACCTTTATATATGATGTTGCATGTGAACTGGCCTTGTGGCCTTGCTCTTGTGCTCGGATTGTGTGGTGACGTTGTGATCCACCCTGAGCTTGCTTTGCTTTGCTTGACTGGTCTTGTGACCTCTTGTTCTCCCCCACTTTGCCTATGGGGGTGTGTCAAACTTATATGCTATAGTCTGTGTAGGGTGTAGTGGGGTAGACAATATGGGGTACAACATTTCTAGGTTTTCCTACTTGTACCCACCTGCTTGCTAGTTCATTCATTCCTCAAATAAAGACACTATTTTGTCCAGTCAGGTTGGTTCTGTTGCTTGGAATTATTTGGGAGCATCCCTCGCTGTTCCTAGGTTGATTCCCAAGGTCCTTGCTAGCTAGAACTATTCAATCATTCTCTGTTTGTACATGGATATAGTCATTTGATTCAAGCGGATTCATTCCTTGCTGGAATTTCGTTTCTGATGGAAAGCGAGCGAATCTGGAGAGCGTACAAGAGATTAAGTCCGCCGACTTCGACGGAACATTGCGTGCAGCTCACGTAACCTTAAACTATGAGCAGGTACGCGTTAGAAAGGTCGTAATCTCTAATTTCCAGAATGGTAACGCACGCTTTCAACAAAGATCTAGGCCGATCGCTATCGCGATCTAAGTGCGACGGTGTATCTTGGCGAAATTACTAGGCAGCCATGGATTAGTTCAAGAAAGTAGCTTTGGCAAGAGTTCAGATCTGAAAAGTGACGAGTTGTTCAAACCCTACCAACCCAACCCTCGCCCTACAACAATCCCCAACAACCCAAAGTGCTAAAATAGCAACACCAAAGGTGTTGTAGTGAATAGCAAAGGTTTGTTGGTGCTTGTTGGGTGCGAGATCAATACCAGCCCGCAACAAGTCTAACCACCACATTTTGCCCAAACCCTTAGCCCACAACCAGCTAGAGCAAAATACCACAACCACCTACACAATCAACACTCCCCCTTGCTCGTGCTGGAGGTGGCTGAACACCACTGGGCAAAATCCTTCACTTCACTCCCCCTTGCCCAGGGAAGGGAGCCATCCACAGCATGAGGTTGTCAATGCAGAGAAGCACCTTCTCATGCACCATGCTCACATGGGGCTGCATCCCCATCAAGGACAGCACACACCATGCCGTTCAAAAGGGAGGGGTTTGGTGAGTATATCTGCTGCTTGACGGTTGGTGGGGCACCACCGGAGGATCACCTCGCCTCACGCCACCATCTCCCTGATGAAATGCCACCGAACCTGCATGTGCTTGGTGCGGCCATGCAAGCATGCATTCTGTGCAAGGGCAATGGCAGACTGATTGTCCACAAACACAGGGACACCACCAGCAAACTCATGCCCAAACTCCCCAAACAAACGCTTCAGCCACACACCCTCCTGAATGCACTGACACAGACTGATGTACTCACTCTCAGTGGTGGACAATGCAACCACCGGCTGCCTCTTGCTCTGCCAAGAGATGGCTGCACCATTGAGGCAATATACATAGCCGGTGTGACTAAAGCATCTCTTAGCATTGAGGCATTGAGGCAATCTCCAGCATAATCAGCATCACTAAAGCCCACCAACTCGACCTGAGGCTTGCTGTGTGCGGGGTAGAAGATACCTGACTTGACACAACCTTTCAAGTACCTTAGCACTCTCTTAGCAGCCTGCAGGTGAAATGCCTTGGGACAAGACACAGCCTTGGACAGCTGTGACATTGCATAAGCAATCTGCGGCTGTGTGGTCGTGCTTGCATACATGAGAGACCCCACAATGCTTTGATAGAGCCGGACCAGCTCATCTCTCAGCAAGGGCTCCTCAGCATGTGCATGCACGTTGAACCCTGCGAGGAGAGGGGTACGCACGGGGTTAGCCTCTGAAAGCCCGAAGGACTCAAGCATGTTGAGAATGTACCTCTCCTGATGAATCAAGATGCCACTCTCATCACGCTCAATCTGCACCCCCAAATAGTACTTAGCCTCCCCCAAGTCCTTCATGCGGAAACGAGAGGACAAGAGACCCTTCACCTCGTCCAGCAAGACCATGCTCAAAGACATGAGCAGAATGTCATCCACATAGAGGTAGAGGGACAGCCGGCCCTCATGCCTCACCAAGTGGTACAAGGCGGGGTCACACTCCGACCTCTCAAACCCAAAATCCATCAGCGCCTCGTCAAATTTGAGGTACCACTGCCTTGGAGCTTGCTTTAGCCCATAGATTGATTTCCCGAGTCGGCAAACTCTGCCGGACCCATCATCAAAACCAGGGGGCTGCCTCATGTACAGCTCCTCCTTCAAGACCCCATAAAGATAGGCAGTGGTCACATCCATGTGATGGATGTGAGACCCCGAGGATGCTGCCATCCCAAGGGAACCTCTCAGGGTGGTAGGTTTACCCACTGGGGTATATACCTGGTCATAGTGAACGCCTCGTGTTTGAGTGTTCCTCATGGCCACCAGCCTGGACTTAGACCCCTCAATACTCCCATCAGCCATTTGCTTATACTTCCACACCCACTGACACCTCAAGACCTCCATTCCAGGTGGCACACAAGCTGGATCAACCAGCTCAAAAGACTCGTTCACCCTATGAGACTCAAGCTCCGCACGCATGGACTCGACCCACTCAGGACGGGACAAGGCCTCCTTGACCGACTTGGGCTCATGCACCTGACCCATGAGACTGAAATCAAGCCCAAGCTCACCCCCCTCAGCATCCACAAGCATGCACTCCTCCATATCATGCACCTCATGATCATGCATGCAAGCATACTGTGCACTTGGTGTGAACCTTTCGGGTGGCCGGGAGATGCGTGTGGTGCGGCGCAGAGGTGATGCCTCCCCCTGCTCCAGACTTTGCAGCTTCTCCTTCCAAGTCACTCTCTTCATGGGGGACCGTGGTGACTTGGACAGCTGCTGCTGCAGTATTTGCTGCCACCTACCCGAAGGAACAGGTGGTGTATGCTCCTGTGGTGGCTGCTGCGGCTTCTCTTGTTGCTGCTGCTGCCCCTGTGGCTGCTCCGGGTCATGGGCTGGTGCGTTAGGGTCAGGGGTAGAACCAGCAGTTGGTGACTCCTCATGGTGAGGTGCAGATGCCTTTTGTTCCTCTTGCTGCTCCTCTACCTCCTCTCCAGGGTCCTCCCATGCCCCCTCAAAGATGGAAGAGGTGTAGGGATCCTGAAGGGAGTTCCCAACTGTACTAGCACCATGCTCTTTCCACCCCTTATAGCTCAGCCCCTCGTGGAAAACCACATCCCTGCTTTCCACCACCCGCTGATCCGCCACACTCCACAACATCCAAGCTTTACTCCTCTCCGACACCCCAAGAAAAATGCCCCATTGTGCCTTAGGATCAAGCTTCCTCCGTTGCTGGTCGGGCACTTTGTACTGCGCCATGCACCCCCACACTTGTGCCATGGACACACTAGGCACCTTCCTGGTCCACATGAAGTAAGGGCTCTTGCCCCCTAGCCCCTTGCTGCCCATTCTGTTCTTAACCCAGTTGGCATATTGCACTGCTGCCCCCCACCAAGTATGGTCCAACTGCGCATGAGCAAGCATGGCTCGGGCAAGGTCAATGAGGGTCCGGTTTAGCCGCTCCGCTGCCCCATTTTGCTGCGGTGTGTAGGCAACTGAAAGCTGGTGGGTGATGCCCTTGTCTTCAAGGAAAGACTCCAGATCCTTCCCCATGTACTCCCCACCCCGATCGGACCTAACTATTTTCACCTTGGCCCCGGCTTCCCTCTCCGCATAGCGTATCCAACGCTTGAACACCTTGGCCACCTCATCCTTGGTTTTCACCTAGGTAACCCAACTTAGGCGGCTGAAGTCATCCAAGAAGGTGATGAAGTATTTGCTGCCCTTCTCCCTAT